TTCCAGAGAACTGGAAAAATCTTCCTGTAAGAAGAAGTCATTTGCAGTCCTGAAAAGGATAGTAGGATTGGTTTATGAAGCCACCTTGAGATGGTCAGGGAAGAGGAGAGGAGCAAGAGAAACTTTTTTTTCCAGTTCTTTTACACAGAAACTCCCTTGGCTTAGAACAGGCACCAAGAAAGAGTACTATTACTAAAGCCAGCTGCACAAATGTGTAAATTAATGAAAATCAGTGCAATCAACTGCTCTAAAACAGGGGTGTCCAACCTTGGCAACTTGTGGACTTGTGGATTTCAACTGCCCAGCATGCTGACTGGGGAATTCTGGGAGTTGAAGTCCACACGTCTTCAAGTTGCCAAGGTTGGACACCGCTGCTCTCAAGTATTTTGAAAAGGAGCTCTTAAATACACATTAACAAGCCCATTTTTAACTCATCAGAGCAGATTAGATTTACATCAGATTCCCGGCCTGCCACACTTCCAGTCACCTGACAAGAGAGTGGAAAAGGTCAAATTCATCCTTGCAGGATTGAATTTATTTTATTCTGTGATTTTCTAAACATCCAAATGAGTATCTAATCAATGGGGGGGTCCTAACCCTAACCAAGGACTTAAGAGCCACCGGTGTATTGCCATAAAATGTATGCTACTCTAAATAGAATAGTGTTGTGCAAAATTAGGGATATCAAGTCTATTAATGCTTTGGGTGTTGCACCAGGGCCCTGAGGTTCTTGCTATTATTTCTAGGAGAGGTGGATGCAAAATATTGGCTAGGGCATGACCCAAATGCAAAATGGTGGCTTGGGATCAAAATGGCTGGATTTGGTGGTATACAGGGTAGTCAAAGTAGCAAAGATGATGGCTTGGATAGCATGATAGAAATTGTTTTTGTGCTGTTGCATATAAAGTCCAGCAGAGATTCAGTGACTCCGTTATGGCTGTCATCTTGATTTTTCTGACTGTACCCTGTGGACCCACCTTGTGGGTTATAGATCAAGCAGTTAACCAGTGGAGTCTTGGAGCTGATTCATATTGTGGTTTCCTTTGATCTTGCCCTGGAAGCTACATTCGCACAGTTAAAGGGTCTGCAAAAAAGACGGCTGATGGGAGATGTGTTAGCAGTCTTCGAATTTGTGTTATTCTCTGTTGCCCACAAGTCTGAACTTCGGAAAAATAGATTCAGGTTAAATGTGAAAAGCTATTTCCTAATAGTGGGCTTCTCTCTTGATGGAGCATTGAAGAAGTCTTCTCTGCATTGGAGGTTTTCAAGGGGTTGGATTAAATCAGGGGTTTTCAACCTTGGCAACTTTTGAGACTTGTGGATTTCAACTCCCAGAATTCCTCAGCTAGCCATGCTGGCTGGGGATTCTGGAAAGAAGTCCACAAATTCTGAGAATTGAAGTCCACATGTCTTAAAGTTGCCAAGCTTGGAAAGCCCTGGACTAAATGACCACTAACATCCCTTCTAGCTCTAGGATCCTTTGAAAACAGACTCTTCGGTTGGTGCTGAATTTCAGCAGCCCAGCCTCAGGGGCTCTGGGGTGGAAGAACTTAGCTGAAGAGCTCAGTGATCCTCAGGCCACTAGCTGTCTATCCCTCATTTAACGTGAGGAGTCATCCAGGTCATTGTGGCTCTTTAAGCAAGCCTGGATGTAGCAAAGCATGGTTTAGTATTAGATGTGACTTCATTTACAGTTTCATGTTCTTGGCTAATTCCTCCCAATCCTCTACCCAAGACTAAAACGCAGGCGATGAATTGTGATTTGGATTCTGGGAAAACTATAACAGGTATCCCAGAAAGGAAAGTATGTGAAGGAAAAAGTGGTTTTTCCTGTAACTAAGTGGCCAGATGGTTTATGATAAGGAGATGCCCTCCCTAGGAAGAATCCCAAGAGTAGAAGAACCGCTGGCTTGAAGAGGTTGTAGGAAAAGAGCCCCCTTAGCCTCTGGTAGCCCCAAATGACGCCTTTTAAGGCTCATCGGTTTTACAATGAGGCATAGTGTGCCTCCTAACAAAACAGTGGTTCTCAACCATGGCATAGCTGGCTGGGGAATTCTGGGAGTTGAAGTCCATATACTTAAGGTTGCCAAGGTTGAGAAACAATTTAAAAGGTGTTTCCAGACACTTTCTGACCTATATTCTAGGTGGCCCATCCAGAACTTTTGGAGTGTCATAATTCTGGAGGTTTTTCTGAAAAGGAGGGAGAGAGACGGTTGCTATGGCCTGCAGGAGGTTATGGAGAACCTCGTGTTCTCTGCAGAGAATAAAAGCAGTTGGAGATGATGGGCTCCAACAGTTTCCCTTGGTCCCACCTATGAAGGGAGGTCCCTGAGGTTGGCTGCTGCACTCCGTGTCCCAACTTATCATAGATCTGACTTGATTATGGGGAAACCCAATGAAGTCAATCACTATGGTTCTCTAATAAATCTTGTATGGCTTTATGATAACCCAGCTAAAGCCTAGATGAATTAATTCTGTAAATGTATGTGAGATGTTTTGAATTCTGAAATAATGCCAGGTCAGAGGGCCAATATTGTAGTTGGGGCATATTTCTGCAAAACTGGCCAGAATGTTCTCGTTGGGGATTGGGCACCCAGTTCAGGGCACTCCAGTTTAGTGCCAGTTTAGTGCTGTCTGTCCATCCATCCATCTATCTATCTATCTATCTATCTATCTATCTATCTATCTATCTATCTATCTATCTATCCATCCATCCATCTATCTATCCATCCATCCATTTGTCCATTCATCCATCCATCTATCCATCTATCTATCTATCTATGTATCTATCTATCTATCTATCTATCTATCTATCTATCTATCTATCTATCTATCTATCTATCTATCTATCTATCTATCATATGGCATAGGTTATACAGATAATAGTAGTAAAAATATATAAAAGAAACATATAATATTATGGTACATGAATGAAGGAAATATGTGCATAAGTACTTAAGTTCCTTTGACTTCTGACCACCATGGAACCCAAAATTTTTGTTGCTAAGTGAGACAGTTGTTAAGTGAGTTTTGCCCCATTTTATAATCTTTCTTGCCACAGTTGTTAAGTGAATCACTGCAGGGGTTAAGTAAGCAACACGGTTGTTAAGTGAACCTGCCTTTGCTTGTTGCAAAAGGTGATCACATGACCTCAGACAATGCATGAATCAGTTGCCAAGCATCCGAATTTCGATCTCAATGCTGCAGTGGACGTAAGTGTGAAAAATGATCATTTTTTCAGTGCCTTTGTAACTTTGAAAGGTCTCTAAAAAATGGTTGTAAGTCAAGGACTTTCTGTAATCAATGTTGTAAGATATGAGGAATTCAAAAGTTAGTTATAGGTTATGTTTTAAAATACGTTGGCTCATGAGAATAGAATAAGTATTCTATATATTAACATCTAGCCTAGTGCTGACCCCAGCCAGAGCCCCCCACTCCCCTTCCTCTCCCCTTCTGCTCTGTAGGTTTCCCAGGACCCTTTGCAGGACAGGTGTTCTCTGGCTTCTGCTCCTTCCTCTAAGAAGAGACACCTGATAAATCATCAGAAGTTAATGATCAAAAGGCTTATCTGAGCCTTTTCGTTTATAAATGTATAAGACAAAGGAGAAATAATAAAGCCACTGGATAATTAGTAACCAGTCCAGTCCTGAAACATTGGAAGCCAAGCTGACCCCAGATCTCCAGGCAGAGTCAGGGCGAGTTGGGGGACGAGAAGAAGGGGTCATCTGAAGGGCAGGTAGCGTGGAAGCTGAACCCCAGGAGGGGAATTAGCGAAGGGAGAGGAGTGGGGAAGGTCTCCCGAGCTGCAACAGAGGAAGAGGAGGAAAAGAAAGAAGCCCAGAAGCCTGTCTGCTTCGCCCCACAGGTAAGGATCCCTCTAGGGCATGCTTGTCTTTTACTAGGGAGGGCAGCTCCCCCAGTCTCTAGGGCAGAAAAGCTTTTAGACCCCCCCGCAATCTCTCTGTTGTCTTCCTTCTGAAAGAGGGGCGTCTGCCTTTGCACTCATGTGCAAAGAGATGGCTGTTCCAACAGACCTGGATGGGTTCATGGGGGCTTCACATTTTTCAGTGGAGCCTTTCATTAAATGGCATAGCGTGAGACTCCTCACTTTTTGTCCAGACAGATCTACGGCCCACCCTTTAGCTAACGTCTTGAGCCCTTTAGAAAAGAATAAAAAATCAGCATAAAACAGTAAACAGCCCCTGCGTTAAGATCCAGGAGAATGAAAGCAACGTAAGTGGGGAAGAGGCATTGATGAGGGGAGGGGGATGTCTTCCATCCTGTATAAAAACTGTCAGGAGTTGTGGCTGTGGGGGAGCAGTCACAGTGCTAATGTCGGGCAGCAAAATGTGCTCCCCAAAAGGCATTGCCTAAGAATGGGGGGGGGGGTCTTCATACACAGACTTGAATTCATCGTGTAGAAGTATTCCCCCTCCAACAATTTAACTACCAGTTTAGGAGCAGAATAACACCATTTGTAAGTTGTGTGTTTGTGCAACTCACTTCATCTTGTGCCGGGGGTTGCAGTTAGTACTCCATCAACACAGTTCTTCATAGCACCCGACTTTCAGAAACAGCTTGCTCCCCATTTGGCTCTATGGGGTTCCTGCACGCAATTCCCTCTGAGCAAAATTTGAAATGCCCCCCCCCAAAAAAAACAGAATGTGGAAGGTTTTTTTTTCTGCTCTGACCGAGAAAGGATTTTTTCCCAAATGTGCTGGAAATGTCCATGGTGCCCCCCACCCTCTTTTGGGATTTCACGGAATGATAGAAGTTGGATCTCCTTGTTGGGATAAACCTCTGAAGGTGGGTTAGTTGGGATCCCTAAAGTACCTGGGGTCATCTTTCTCTCACCTGACTGTACCTTCCATCATCCCCAGCCAATGCCTCCTTCAGAGGGATCTTATTGGGGCAAGGGGTCCCAAAGTGGAGGAGGGAGAAGGCAGCGCCATGGACGAAGGGAGAGAGAAGGGCGAGAAGAAGGCAGAAGGGGCTCTTACTGTAATAACCTCTCCACCACGGCTTTCTGGTGAGCAGCTTCTTCAGGACTCAGGTTTTCCAATTCCTTCATGATTGGAGGAGTGAAGTCTTCCCCATCGTCCGAAATCTCCTCCTCTGACATCCTGGACTCCCCCAGGCCATTGGGGAGATGCGGGATCTCACCGCAAGGCTCCCCCTTCTCCATTTGGAGGGCTCTGCCGGGCTGATGGCTCTCTCTGCGGCGCAGATCGGACTCTGCCAGAGCCTTGATCAGGGTCTCCTTGCTTAGCCCCGATTCCAGCAGGGCTCCCAGCAGCTCCACCTGAAGATGGGTCAGTTTGGAGACCATGGTCCCGACGGTCCTCTTCATCTAGAACCCGCACGTTCGATGCCTTTTGCCACTGAGCTCCTTTTAGGGGCTACATCATACTTCCGAAGTCAGCCGTCCAGCCGTCAGCAGACTAGAAATGGCCGCAGATCTTCTCTTGGCAACCCCCTCCCCAATTTCCCCAAGACCAAAAAAAGAAAAAAAGCTGCCTTAGACCCCCACCACTGTCCTGAGCCAGTCCTGATAAAGAGACCCTCGCCTCTCTGTTTACATTGGAGCAATGCAAATTCTCCAAGGTTCATATTTATCTGTGTGCTTAGGCAAGTAGCTGAACTTTGGACTTCGGCATTGCGACAGCAGTTCACAAAGTGCGTTAGGAGGGAGGGAGGGAGAGTGAAAATGGGGGAGAGGAAGAGAGAGGAGGAAGGCTCGCGGAGAGAAGGCCCAGGGCTCCACGAGGACCCCACAGCAAGATCCTCTTGCATCTGTGGGAAAAAGCGCTTCCAATCAAAGCGAGAAGTTGAGGGACCTCATCTAAGAAGCTCTATCTATGGAATCCCAAAGGTGCTGTTTTTTCAGGAGGCAACTGGACTTTCTTGTTTTTCTTTGAAGACCTTTCGCTTCTCATCCAAGAAGCTTCTTGGATGGGAAGCGAAACGTCTTCAAAGAAAAAGAAAAACAAGGAAGTCCAGTTGCCTTGTGAAAAAGCACCTTTGGGATAACTATGACCTGGATGACTGAGAATCTCCATAAGCTCTATGGAAGGTTGAGATCTCAGATGGGCCCTCCAGAGCCCTGCTCCTCTGGGTTAAGGGAGAGCCATCTCCAGCATGGCCCCATTGCAGGACAGGCATTGGGACGAAGCACAACAGGGAGTATGTCCCATACTCTGCTGCCTGTTGGTGGGACTTTCTTGATTGCCTCCTCATGGGGCCTTCTCCTCTGAGCTGAAGGCTGCTTTGCAGAACTTGTTGGTCTGTTTCCTTCTTTGGCAACCAGACTTCAGCAGGAAAATCCCTGTTTCCTCTTGTGGGGAAGGGAAAGAAACAGCTTTAACCCCACACACAGTGGCAGGATTCAGCCGGTTCGCACCACTTCGGCTGAACCGATAGCTAATTCTGTGTTGCCCAGGCCTAGAATGGAGTTCTGGAAGTGGCATCCACACAGAGAACCGGTTGTTCACATATTTGAATCCCACCACTGCCCACCCATAAGGGATGAGGGTAAAAGGAGAGCAGCCAACAGAACATTGGATCATGCTTCGTTCCAGTTCTGCCATGGGTCATAGAAAAATCACGTTCTCTCCATTCCAGGTCTGTGAAAAACGGAGTCAGGGCTGAGCTACTTTTTTTCCTCACAAAATGTGGCAGATGGAACTGCATAATTGTGCTCTTATTGTCCTCAAAGATAGCCTAGAGATACAACAACAAAACAATAACAACAAACACATTACATAGTCCCAAGGCACCTTGAAAGCTAGTAAGAAGACATGTTTGATTCGTTTTTAGTTCAAAATATTGGTGTTACAGGTTGATGATTAACTTGTGAACTAATATCATTGGCTGGAATTGTGTAATAATTGTGTTTTTCTTTTGATCTAGTTTCTCCTACTAGGCATCTATACAATGACTTTTTAAAAGCTCAGAATGAATGTTATGATTACGATTGTTAACAATTAATTGTGCAACAATCAATTGCCAGAGCCATTTGGCTAAAGGGATATTTTACTGATAAGCCTACTAAAGAAAAGAAAAAGAAAACAATGAATAAAAGTTATTTTATTTACAAGGTAGTCCTTGACTTATGTCTGTAACAGAGCCTGGTCAGAATAATAGAATAACAGAGTTGGAAGGGATCTTGGAGGTCTTCTAGTCCAACCCCCTGCTCAAGCAGGAGACCATATATCATTTCTGACAAATGGCTGTCCAGTCTCCTCTTAAAGACCCACAACTTCTGAAGAGAAGCTGTTCCACTGGTTAACTGTTGTCATTATCAGGAAATTTCTCTTTAGTTCCAGGTTGCTTCTCTCCTTAGTTTCCATCACTGTTTCTTGTCTTGCCTTTGGGTGCTTTGAAGAATAAGTTGACTCCCTCTTTGTGGCAGCCCCGTAGATATTGGAACACTGATATCATGTCCCCTCCTAGTCTTATAACTCACGATGGTTGTAAAGCAGTTCACTATAGGATAGGACCTATTTTTAAAAACCTTTTTTGCAGCGGTCATAAAAGGAATCCCATGGCCGTAAAACAAACCCATTGTTCCCTATGGACCTTTTTGTTGAAAACCAGAAATAAATGCCTGTTTTCAGCAACAACGTTGTAAAATGTGATCGTGGGACACCCCAAACCGTTGTAAATGCAGGCTGGTGGCCAAGCTCCAGTTATGCAGTCACATAACTGGGGGTCAGGGGGGCCCAGCCATTGGAATTAAGTACTTTTTGGGGGAGTCTTAAGTACTTTTTTGGGGAGGGAGGGTCTGTCATAATGTCAAACAGTCTTTAAGCGACCAGTCACAAGTATGATTTTCATATTATCAGAATTCTCACATATTTTAGGCTCTATTTGAATGTCCCAAGACTAACCAAAACCTTCATAGAATCCACCCATCCAGGCTACTCATAATGCCCACCAGGAAGCTTATATGGGGCAGGGAGTAAATTTTGGGTGGAGGGCGTGGCCAAGACTGCCTCCTGATTGGTGCAGGGAGAAGGGAAGTGGCCAATAGGCCTATATAAAGGTCTGCTGGCCATGAGCTCCAGAGTAATGTTCTACTTGAGAGCTGATTCTTGGGGTTTGTTAGAGAGAAGTTTTAAGAGAGAATTCAATATTGGGTTAGGCCAAGGCTGTCCAACCTTGGCAACATTAAGATTTGTGGACTTCAACTCCCAGAATTCCCCAGCCAAGCAAAACTGGCTAGAGAATTCTGGGAGTTGAAGTCCACAAGTCTTAAAGTTGCTAAGGTTGGACACCTCTGATTTAGGCAGTGAGTTTTAGACAGGGATTATGGAATGGCAGATATTTTTTTAGTTTGAAACCTCATTTATGTGTTTCACTTTGAGAGCGGGCAACTAAATTTCATTTTTGTTGTGTGCCATTGTGCCCACAGTATAAAAATGACAATAAAGGTGATCTTATCTTATCTTATCATGATGGAAACAACCAACAAAAACTGAATTCGGGAGCCACCTGCTGTTTCCCTGTTGCAGAAAACCACATTCTCCCTTTCTTCATAAAGTAAAATTTCGATAACCCTAAAATCTACTGTGGGAAATCAGCCCCCCCCCAGAGAAGGAAATATTAAAAGGGCAGAAGATTATATTTCCTCAACGGATCTTAAAGAGGCAGAAAAGCATGCCCAGTTTTTCTTAATAGCCCCAAGTCTCCCTCCCCCAAGCAGAAACCAGCTCTGTAGAAATGCAGATGTAATAATCCATTCAGGAAGGTTGGAGCCTTCCAGCTAAAAGCTTAGGAAGACAAAGATACCTAAAATCTACATACCCCACACAAACTCTAAGACAGGACATAATAGGATTAACTCACAGATGCCAAAGGGGCATGCTCAGACTTAGGTCAAAATACGTGACACAAGCCTCAAACAGGAACAGGAAACAACCTCAAGAGCCCCAGAGGGTATAAAAACCCACTCCCTACATGTGCTCTCTCTCTTTTCTTCCAGAGCCATCTTTCTGTCTGGCTCTCCTCTCCAATAAACAACAACCTTCTTTCTAAAGCAGTCACCGTGTTGTTTATTCCCGGCTTGGACTGAACCATGTTGAAGACTTTTCCTTCAACACTACTAATATAAAACAGTCAAAAAGGGAAGAATGGCACCAAAAAGATGACTATGTGAGCATGAGGCTGCCTGGGACAAGTTTTGATGTCTGCCTTGAGCCCAATATTTCTGATGCTAAGCAAGGCAACTGTTAAGTGAGTTGTGCCTCATTTTACAACCTTTTTTGCCACTGTTGTTAAATGAATCTCTGCAGTTGTTAAGTGAATCATGCCTTCCTTAAGTGAATCCAGCTTTCCCCATTGACTTAGCTTGTCCAAAGTCAGCTGGGAAGGTTCTAGATCAGTGGTTCTCAACCTTTCTAATGCTGTGACCCCATAATACAGTTCCCCATGTTGTGGTGACCCCCAACCACTTATACATCACTGGGTGCCAGGGGCGTGGCCAAAGAAAAGGGGGAAAAAATGGCGGACAGCCTTGTTTGGCGACCCCTGTGAAATGGTCGTTCGACCTCAAATGGGGTCCCGACCCACAGGTTGAGAACCACTGTTCTAGATGGTGATCATATGACCCCAGGATAATTCAATCATCATAAATGCATGCCAGTTGCCAAGCATCCAAATTTTGATCAGGTGACCATGGGGATGCAACAATGGTTTTCAGTGAAAAATGGCCAGAAGTCTTTTTTTTTTTCCTTATAATTTTAAATACTCACTAAATGAATGTTTATAAGTTGAGAACTTACAGCAGTGTTCTAATATTTGAGGGGCTGCCACAAAGCAGAAGGGGTCAACCTTCAAAGCACCTGAAGGCAGGACTCCAAGCAACAGATAGCTAATCGTCCTCACTGTTAGGAAGTTTCTCCTTAGCTACAAGTTGCTTCTCTCTTTGATTAGTTTCCATCCATTGTTTCTTGTCCTGCCTTCAGGTACTCTGTCTGGAGAATAGATTGACCCCCTCCTCTTTGTGACAACCTCTCAAATACTAGAACACTGCTATCATGTCTCCTCTAGTCCTTCTTTTCTCTAAACCCAAATCCTGCAACCGTTCTTCATATGTTTTTGTCTCTAGGGTTTTAATCTTCTTAGTTGCTCTTCTTTGCACTTTTTCCAAAGTCTCAACAGCTTTTTTGTAATGTGGTGACCAAAACTGGATGCAGGTGTATTCCAGGTGTGGCCTCACTAAGGCTTTATAAAGCGGTACTAATATTTCATGTGATTTTGATTCTATGTCTCTCTTTATGGAAACTAATCAAGGAGAGAAGCAACCTGGAATTAAGAAGAAATTTCCTGACAGTGTGAACTACTGACCAATAGAACGACTTGCCTTCAGAAGTTGTGGGTGCTCCATCCCTGGGGGTCTTTAAGAAGAGATCGGAACAGCCATTTGTCCAGAATGGTAAAGGGTCTCCTGTTTGAGCAGGGGGTTGGAGTAGAAGGCCTCCAAAATCCCTTCCAACTCTGTTATACAATGATACACTTCCAATTTAGTGGGCATAGCTATGATTAGATGGAGGCGTTAAGCCATGTCTATCTTGCAAATGACACCTTAGCATTTAGAAGTCCTGTGGGTTTGTGAGACCAGGCTAATTAGAAAAATGGCAGGCCCGTGCCACTGAGCTGTTCCAAGAAGGCTCCACACCCATTTGCACCACTCAGGTGACCCTGAGGACACAGGTAAACCTCCAGGTGCCTTCAACGTCTCTCCAAAAGAAGGCAAATGACCAGCTGTCTGGAAGGAGTATAAATCCTTTCATTCCCCACCATCCAGTCAGAGCTGAAGAAGCTTCTTGGATGAGAAGCGAAACGTCTTCAAAGGAAAACAAGTCCACTTGCCTCTTGAAAAAGCATCTTTGAATTTGAAATATCTCCAAAACAGATGATTAATGCATTAATACTTTCTCTTTAAGGTTTATAAAATAACATACTGCAGTAGCATCATCAGAGAATAGACTTTAATTCAAATGTCAGATTATGTTTTGCAAGAGTGCTATTAGTATTTTAAGATATTGGATTTTCATATAGAGAAGTTGTTGTATATACTGTTATTTGTATTTGAAAAAGGTCACTTTTATTTTTATTTGATTTTTTTTTACTTTTAAATCTGCCTGTTATTTCTATCATCTCTATCTTTATATTTTAATGTTTGTGAAATGTAATAAAGATATTTGTAAAAAAAAAAAATAGATGGAACTCATTTTAAACCAATTAACATGGATGTGGCATGATTTTGTAGTTAAAGAGTGCAATCTAGCACAAACATCTTTTAACTCAACGTGAGATGGGGCCAAAGGTTGGGCTACTCTGACAGGCACCCTGATTCCAATGGGAGCAATTTATTACAAGGCAGAAGCTTTGGTGAGCTGCAGTGGAAAATCCGGAAGGAATCTGGATGCACCTTTTCCTATGAACCACTTGAAGCACAAGGAGATCTGGGATGCTGGCAGCAGATTCCAGGTGTGGTGGGATTTTCCACTTTCCCTCCTAAGTCAGAGAAGTGGTTTTTCTCCATTCTCTCTCTCTCTCTCTCTCTCTCTCTCTCTCTCTCTCTCTCTCTCCCTCCCTCCCTCCCTCCCTCCCTCCCTCCCTCTCTCTCTCTCTCTCTCTCTCTCTCTCTCTCTCTCTCTCTCTCTCTCTCTCTCTCTCTCGTCTCTGTTAAAAAAATGATGGCTTTCATCCCAGATCTGTTTCTTGATCAAAACATCTGAGAACGGGATCAATTGTGATGGGGGGGGGACAAAAATTTTTGAAGGTAGCAAATGTCACTTTACAGACAATAAGAGAATCTCTTCCACTGCCCTCTGTTTAGATCAGTGTTTCTCAACCTTGGCAACTTTAAGATGCGCAGACTTCAACTCCCAGAGATTGCATCACTATTGATCTGGTGGAAAACTAAAGTTTCCCTTTTTCTCTCAGGCATTTCTCTTTTAATCTTTGTTATAAGTTTAAATTTAGAAATGTTACATGTCTGCATTGGACTGAACAAGTGATTTCTTCTTAATTGTATTTATTGTCTTTGAAGCTAGCATGACCCTATTGGTTCTGCTGCTGTCTATGAGACCCACTGGGCAAAATAACCAAGCCTGTGCCTATTTATTTTAGGTAGAATCTTCTGCTTTGAAAAAAAGGTAGAATGTT